CAACTGTAGACTGTAACTGGGCTTTTCAACTAACAGCACAACCATTTAGTGTAAACACATACCCTGTAATTGATCTTCGTTTATCCAAATCTTTGCCATAATCTGAATCAACATATCCGAACACCCCAGTGTTAGATTTACCAAAACGTAAACACATAGAAGACGTACCACGTAAATAACGAAAAATCCACTGTACTGTTTTCCAGTGTTCTTTCCCCGGGTTCGCCATGTATCTACTAACCATGCTAACAGCATAAGCCAAATCAGGGCGCGTGCAGATCATAGCATACATCAAAGATCCAACAGCACTAGAGTATGGAACACGTGTCATGTAAGCCATATCAGTCTCATTAGTAGGACTCAAAGCGGATGATAGCTTGAAATGAGCTGCAAAAGGTGTGTTGACAGACTTTGCTTCGTGCATACTGAAGCGTCTTAGGACTTTCTCAATATAATTTTTCTGAGAAAGATGCAAGATCCTAGACTTCCTGTCACGAATAATTTCCATACCTAAAATCTTTTTTGCAGCTCCTAAGTCCTTCATTTCAAATTCAGCTTTCAACTGGTCTTTTAACTTCTGAATCTCCTTCATATCTTTCGCTGCAATCAACATGTCATCCACGTACAAGAGTAAGTAGATCTTTGAACCATTGTCACCTTTCTTAAAATAAACGCAGCTATCATAGGTGCACCTGCTGAATTTGTGACTGGTCATGAAAGAATCGAACCTCTTGTACCATTGTCTAGGAGACTGCTTGAGGCCATAAAGAGATTTGTTCAACTTGTATACGTAGTTCTCCTTTCCAGGAACTACAAAACCTTCAGGTTGTTGCATAAAAATCTCTTCCTCAAGCTCACCATTTAGGAAAGCTGTAGTGACATCAAGTTGTTCTAACTCAAAATCGTTAGAAGCAACCAACCCCAACAACACACGAATGGAAGTATGTTTGACAACTGGGGAATAAATGTCAGTGTAATCAATACCAGGAATCTGACTGTAGCCTTTAGCTACTAACCGAGGTTTGTATCTTGGTTTATCATTTGGGTTGACAGGTTCCTTGAGCTTGTAGACCCACTTGCATTTAACTGGTCTCTTCCCTTTCGGAATAGGAACTAAATTCCAAGTACTGTTTCGCTGCAAAGATTCCATTTCATTTTGCATAGCGAGCATCCAATCATTTGAGTCTTTAGATTTGATAGCCTCGTCATAATTTGCAGGTTCCGTTACAGACTCAATATTATCAGCAACAATAAAAGCATAGGCAACCAAATCAGATTCAGCATACCTCTTCGGAGGAATAATCTGTCTTCTCGGTCTATCTCTTGCAATGCTTGGAGTAGTAGCTTGTGGTTGTGAAGGTGTTGAATCTTCACAAACAACATGCTCATCCGACGAAGAAGAATCTTGATGCTGATTTGTACTCTGATTAGTGGTAGGTGAAGTAGGAAGCTTCACCTCCATTTGAGCATTCTCTTTATTTGCTTCGGATGATACATCTGATGCATCTGTTCTTTTAGAAGAGTCAGCAACTGGTTGAAATATAGCAGACTCATCAAAAGTAACATCTCTTGAGATGATAATTTTCTTCAAATCAAAGCTCCATAACTTGTAACCCTTTACACCTTGATTGTACCCAAGAAAAACGCATTTGATTGCTCTTGGTTCTAGCTTCCCATTGTCAACCCGTGCATATGCTGGACATCCGAATGGTTTTAAATCTGAATAATTTACAGGTTTACCGGACCATAATTCAAACGGAGTTTTCTTCTCGATTGCTCGTGACGGTGATCGGTTGATAACATAGCAAGCAGTCGAAGCAGCCTCCGCCCAAAAAGACTTTGGCAATTTGGAATTAGAAAGCATACACCGGACCTTCTCCATAATGGTGCGATTCATCCTTTCAGCTACACCATTTTGTTGAGGTGAATGGACTACTGTGCGATGTCGAGTAATGCCTTCCTTTTGACAATAGACATTAAACTCTTCTGAGCAAAACTCAAGTCCATTATCCGTACGAAGATACTTTAACACCAGACCTGATTGCTTTTCAACCTGAACTTTCCAATTTCTGAAGGTAGAGAAAACGTCTCCTTTATTTTTTAAGAAGAAAGACCACACCTTCCTGGAGAAATCATCAATAATAGTGAGCATATAAATAGCTCCACCTTTTGAAGGAACTCGAGCCGGTCCCCACAAATCCGAGTGAACATAATCAAGTGGTCCTTTCGTTGTATGGATACCACTTGCAAACCTCACTCGTTTTGCCTTGCCATATACACAGTCTTCATAGAAATCCAAATCAACAATCTTTTGTTGACCAAGTAAACCTCTTCGACTCAATTCTGACATGCCTTGAAAACTCATATGGCCGAGTCGAAGGTGCCAAAGACGGGACTGATCTGGATCAGAAAAAGACTTTGACACAACAGCAGCATCACTCGAAATTGTTTGCCCGTCAAGAAAGTAAAGATCTGAGGTTTTTCGTTCGGCTCTCAGTTTGTCGGAACCGTCTTTGAATACCCTGAGAACTCCACCTTTACCAGCAAACTCGTATCCCTTTTTGTCAAAGGAACTGAGAGATAACAAGTTTCTACTGAGGTCAGGAACATATCTAACATCCCCCATGGTTCGAATAACTCCGTCAAACATACGGATCCTGACTGAACCATGTCCAAGAACTGGACATGTAGTATTGTTACCCATCAACACATAGCCCTGGTTAACCTTTTCAAATGTGTAAAACCAACTTTTGTTGTGACACATATGAAAAGTACAACCAGAGTCGAGTATCCAATCACCAGTGGAATCCAGTTTATCTGAATAAACTGTCAAAAGTTCTCCAATACCTTCGACCTCAGCTACATCGGCTTCACCCGAAGTGCTAGCTTGTTTACCATTTGCTGCTGTCTTCTCTTTTTCTTTGTTCTTCAACTTGAAGCATTCTTCAAGCACATGTCCCTTCTTGTGACAATAGTTGCAAAACTTTCGTTTGCCTTTTGACTTGGATCTGGTTCTGTTGGAAGATTGAGAAGTTCTACTTCTCTCTGTTGTTCTTCCTCTGGCATTCAAACCTTCGGCTTTAGCATCACTTGAACCACCACCAGTAATATGCTTCATCTTCTCTTTTGAATCCAAAGCTGTATAGACTTCATCTAAAACTAGAGTGTCACGGTTATAGATAATAGTATCACGAAAATGGCTATAGGATTCTGGCAACGACGATAGTAAGAATAGAGCCAAGTCTTCATCTTCATACTGAACATCCATATTCTCTAAGTTATTTACTAACTCTTTAAATGTGGATATATGTTCAGTTAAAGAGCCTCCTTCAATCATCTTGAGATTGAACAACCGTTGCTTCAAATGCAACTTGTTTGGTAAGCTCTTGGTCATCAACAGTTGCTCCAACTTTAGCCATAAAGAAGCCGCTGACGTTTCTTTTAGAACATCTTGCAAAACATCGTTTGACAAGTGCAAACGAATCTGGGATAAAGCCTTCAGATCTTTCATCTCATTTTCTTCTTCGCTCCATGTATTGGGCATCTTATTGAAACCCAATAGCGCCTTGTGTAAATCCATCTGAATGAGAATGTCTCTCATCTTTACTTGCCACAACGGAAATCGTGTGTTACGATCCAGTAGTGGAATATCGTATTTTACCGAAGACATGATTAATTACTTGATAAAATGATCCCAATGTGTGGATCATTTATGTAATTTATTCTTCTAGCTACCAATAATAATGTAATTATTTCAACAAAATGATTTAAGAGAATGTATGTATTAAAATATATTTTTGACGAATTTACACCTTGATCGATGGCTTATTAATTACTTTTTTTTTTGTTACTTATTTGATACGTTTAAGACAAAATAATTCACGGTCTTGTAAATGTATTTATCAAAATCACCATCTTCTAGATGTGAGAATATAGACCGGTGAGAACGAGTAATTTTATATGAGGTGGGTTGAAAAGACCCAAATCACTATCTTTCTAATTAGTTTTAGACTTTTTATATAGATATTTATTATGTTAAATGTATTAAAACAACATTATATAGCGACTTGTAGAAAATGTGACCTAATGTTTTCACATTACACTTGGGGAAAGAGAAAAGAATTTGTTAGTGTATATGCTTGTAGTTGTCCTGAAGGGGAATGCTTGTAGGTAAAGATATCTAAATAAATCATATTAGATAGGTTAAAACGGATTGATTTCACTCTATCAATTCTTTTGATGTTTGCTACAATTTATATATACTTGGAAAAGAGCTCACAAATGCCCATGCTTTTGGCTTAAATTTGCTTACAAAATAAAATCATCAAAAAGAATTTAATATAATGTATTTTGACTTCGAATGAATTTTGTAAAATCATGTAATAATTTCTTTAAGAGATCAATAGTCACACATTGTAATATATGAAAATTTTACATCACAAAACTTTAGTGGGAGATATGTCTCTCTCGTACGTGTACCTTTATGAAGTTACTCTACATAACATACTTTGCAATTGTCGGTGAAATTTTTGTCCATTTTATTTTAAACCACGTAAAATAAATCATTTAAATCATTTTTTTTCCCTTACAGCTACATCTTGATAACGATAGTGTAATAATTTATATGATTTTTGCTTTCACTCTAGCTGGAAAAACAAAATAAATAATAACATTTGAATGTAGCTTAATATTGTTTGCATGTTTGATTGAACGAAATCATCACCATATTTGGGATTTATAAAACTTGAGGGACTGAAATGAAAATAAAAAATCTTATAGCGATCACCAATGCATATTTTGTTTTTAAAGAGCCGAAAATGTAGGTGAAGAAGCTATGGAGGACCATTTTGTAACTCATTCATTATACCATTGAAAAAAAATTTAACTCGTGTTCGCACGTGTCACATACACATTCGAACCCAATCGCACGTGTTTGTCCACCAAAGTTCCTTCTTTTTCGATTGTTCTATAAATTGCGAACCTGTATCTCATATCCTAGACATAATCCAATCCCCGCAGACACACACACAACACACTCTCACTGTGTGAAAAAAGAAAACTGAAATTCCAAAAAACTCCCTGGTTTTTCATTTTTTTTGTTCCATTCCACCGGTTTACTCCGCCGCAACTAACATAAATCATGGCCGGAAAACTACTTCTATTATTCGCCATATGCCGTCTCATCGTCATCGTCGGCTTAACTCTAAACCCCACCGTCACCGACCTCTTCCGCGTCGGAATCGACGGCAAATTAAGCGTCGACCCACACGACATCAAGGCGGCGTCCATGGACTTCGGTAAAACAACTCGTAACGAACCGACTGCAGTTCTCCATCCGGCAACCGCCGACGACGTCGCGAAGCTTGTTAAATTAGCTTACCAATCGCCTCAGGGATTCTCGGTGTCGGCAAGAGGCCACGGCCATTCCATAAACGGCCAGTCTCAGACGGCGAACGGCGTCATCGTTCAAATGAGTAGATCCGGGAGAAACCCCGCCGTGCCGGAAGTTTGTGAGAAGAAGATGTATGTAGACGTGTGGGGTGGGGAGCTTTGGATCGATGTGCTCAAGTCCACGCTAGAGTATGGACTCGCACCTAAATCGTGGACTGATTACTTATACCTTTCTGTTGGTGGTACACTCTCTAATGCAGGAATTAGTGGGCAAGCATTCAACCATGGCCCTCAGATTAGCAATGTCCATGAGATGGATGTCGTCACAGGTACATGTTACATATATCATATCATATATATAAATATATAATCCTTCATGCACATGCATTACTTACTTATACAGTACAACTGAGCATTGCATCACTCAAAATTTTGTCATGCATTTGTTTTTGTCCTTTTATAGTCATTTTTATTAAATTTTTACGACCAAATGCAGGAAAAGGCCAAGTATTGACGTGTTCGAATGATAAAAATCCCGATCTGTTCCATTCTGTATTGGGTGGATTGGGACAGTTCGGGATTATCACTAGGGCAAGAATCGCCTTAGAACCTTCACCTCAAAGGGTATGTATTTGTTAAATTCAAGATGTGAATATGTGATATTGAGTCAAGACATTATTTTCAAAGACTATGTTGACATATATATATTATTGCATGTGAAGATAGAAAGTAACATGTGGTCATATTCTATCTAAAATTTAATTTAACATAATGTTTGATTAAACAGGTGAGATGGATTCGGGTTCTTTATTCGAATTTTTCAGCATTTACACATGATCAAGAATATCTTATATCGTTACACAATCAACCACAATCTGAAAAGTTCGATTACATCGAGGGTTTTGTTATCGTTGATGAAGGGTTGATCAACAACTGGAGATCATCTTTTTTCTCCCCTAAAAACCCTGTAAAGATCTCATCTCTTGGAGCTGGTGGAAATGTCTTGTATTGTTTGGAAATCACCAAGAATTATTATGATTCCTCGAACCCAGAATCCATTGATCAGGTAAATCTTGATTTTTCTTTTTGGGTATTTAGATTTTATTCTCAAGATCATATTTTTAGTAGGTGGGTAGCATGTGAATAAATGCAAAAAGTACCAAAAGTTCATGTTAAAAGTGAAAAGCGAGTTCAATGTAACATGCAACCATATTGTAGAATCGGCAAATCAAAGAAAGTATATAAACGCAGGCTTTGGAATTGGATCTTTAAAGTTTACACTAAAAAATTAAATATTTAATAAAATCTTTAATTTTCCTTAACAACTATCTAGTTTGGATTTTTCGTTAACAAGGTATTATCATTCAACAGTCGGAGAAGAAAATAACGACTCATAGGTAATCAGTGATGACTCAAGTAGAAAACGACACACTCTATTAGTAGTTCTTAGTAGCTATCAAAAGATTAAGTTTAATAAAATATCTAAAAATATTTGGTTCAAGATTCGTTGCAAGTTGCAACGTAATTAACCTGGATTATGTGATTGGTGTTTAGCTATAGATACGTGATTAAGGGAATTAAAGAAAGAAATTAGCACAAAAAAAACATAGAAGATCTTGTGTGATCTATGGGCCTATTTGATACGATGATTGACGACAAACTTTAATATTATTTTAGTCAAGAATTACTTGTATGTCTAACGCCGTCCACCCACCAAATTATTAGCACCTAATAATTCAGTGTCTTGATTAATTATTAATTAATTCATTTTTTATCGTTTAATTAACTAAACAAGTAACAGAACTTATCCTCTGACACAAAAAAGTGTTTTGTAGCTAAGCTGTTCTTTTATGTACTTCCATTCTTTCTTTTTTACTTTCTTACTTTCTTATTTTATTTATTTATTTATTTTTAATTGGGTTTTCAGGAAGTGGAAGATTTGTTGAAGAAATTAAATTATATACCAGCTTCAGTTTTCACTACTGATCTTCCTTACGTTGATTTCCTGGACCGGGTCCACAAAGCCGAGTTGAAGCTCCGGTCCAAGGGTTTATGGGAGGTACCCCATCCATGGCTTAACCTGTTTGTACCCAAATCAAGAATCGCTGATTTCGATAAAGGAGTCTTCAAGGGCATTTTGGGAAATAAAACTAGTGGCCCCATCCTCATCTACCCCATGAACAAAAACAAGTAAGAATCTCAACTTGTAAAAAATATATATATATATATTTCTCATCATCATTTCATATCATATGATAACGAATTTATGGGTATCTTACATAACATAAAGTCATAAACCAACAACATGACCTCATGTCCTTTGAACTTTGACCATGACCATGCATGCATCTAGCTCATGCATGCATAATCATTGTACAACCCATCAATGCATGTGTTGCATCATGTTCTATGATGATCCATCATCATTATCATCTATCTATATTATATAAGATAATAAGATGATGTTAATCGAAACAAGAAAAAAGATCGAACGGGTACAATGGTCCAAGTGAGAAGATACTGATGTCAGAAAGAGATCTTCCATGTAGGACCCATTGATGAGATGGTAATCCATGTCCTGTTACATAATAGTACAACATAAATTGCCTTAAGTACAGGTTATGCCACCCTTTGTGGACCTTTTTAATACCTTCTATAATCCATCCTCCAACTGTCATCAAATTGTACTTTCATCATCAATACTTTTACATCTTGCATCAATCCTTGTACTCATGATTTTACATAAACAAATATAGGTGGGATGAGAAGTCATCGGTTGTGACACCCGACGAAGACGTGTTTTACTTGGTGGCATTGCTTCGATCTGCATTGGATAACGGGGAGGAGACATTGACATTAAAGCATTTGAGCGAAGAAAATCGTAAGATTTTGAAGTTTTGTAAGGAATCAAACATAAAAGTGAAGCAATATTTGCCTCATTACACAACACAAGAGGAGTGGGTGGAACATTATGGAGATAAATGGCAACATATTTATAGAAAAAAGATGGAGTTTGACCCTAGGCATATTCTTGCCACTGGTCAAAGGGTATTCGAGCCTAGGTTTGGTTCCGAGGTTAGGTCGTGGTGAGGGATGATTAGAGGAAAATGATAGTAGGATAATCGATGATAGTTACTGACCTCTTATGTACATAAGGCTCGATCTAATGTTATAATAGAGGAATTTAACCAGTTTTTTCGTCTTTGAAAGTATATAAGATGTTTATGTAGACCGTTCAAATGGTGCGGTTTATATTTTGTCTGAAATATATCAGATGTTTAGATTGATAGTTTTTTTGCTTTTGTAGAATTTCCACAACATTCTTCACTTCTTAAAGAAGCCCATGTACAAAGTAGGGTTAGTTTCATTATTTGAACAATGTTGGCCCAATGAGATTTTTTGTTATAAAATGCTCAACCCAATGGGCCATGTAAATCTGCATATGTCTTGATATCTCATTATAATCACCAATGATTGGAAATCGGAAAAGCATGGCCTAAATTATTTAAGGGATTTAAGGGGTTTCATTAGGCATGCACAAAAAAACCGGTTCAAGATCCGAACCGGTCAAAGAACCGGTAAACCGGTCCACAGTGAACCGAACCACCGGTTTACACCCGTTCGAGATTTTAGTCGTTGAAACCGGTTTAGAACCGGTTTATATCGTGTGAACCGGTTTGGAACCGGTATGGAACCGAACCGAACCGGTTTAGAACCGATTGAACCGGTTTAGATTGGTTCGACTAATTTTTTGAGTGAACCGGTTTGAACCGAACCGGTTTGAGGCTGAACCGGTTTTGCTTGGCTAGGGAGTGAACCGAACCGGTTTAAAGAACCGTTTCGGTTTGAAAAATGAACCGGTTTGTGCATGCCTAGGTTTCATCCAGAGTTTTAAATTAATTAAATTATATTGAATGATCATATTAAAAAATTGATATAACAGAATATGTTGTAATAATTATATAATTGGTAAATCATCTTCATTTACTAATTTTGTAAATAAGGTTCAATACATATCGATTGAAGGCAAACGAGCAACAAGCTGCGCCGCTAACCATTTCTGGATGGCAAAACCAATTCTTTTGAAAACTACATTTGTGGATTTAGGAGATATGACATTAGAATGCATTACCTGTTATATAATTATTTATTTAGGTATCTAATACTTTATGATAATATTATGATAATATAAGAAATATATGGCTAAAACGACAAAAAATACTTCTTATATTATGTAGAAGAAATTTTATATAGATACATAATTATATTCTATCAATTATAATATATTTTTATAATAAGTTACAAGAAATCATCTATTATATTTTCTCCTTATAATACTATAAACAATGAACATCGCATCTCTAATTAGGGTTTTGTTTTACGTTTTTATACATAAACAATGAAAAGGTTCGCAAAAAAAAAATGTAATAATATTGATAAGGTAACAAAATTAAGCAAGTAAATTTAGTTTTATGAATCCCATGACTTGGTACATAAGACTATGGTTCCGTCAAGACGTGATATGACGTGAGACGTGATTACAATTTTTCGAAAGCCTTCGTAGCGGTGATGTTAGGCATGACACATACGTACTAAGGCTGGTCAAGGAGTGCCAAGGCAGTCGCCTTATGACGCAGAGTTTTTTTCAAGACATTTTTTCTCTTTTGTTTTTTGTTTTATTATTTTTTTTTTCAGATCGATCATGACATCATTGAGTTTTCATTAGCTTTATGTTTTTAGGGGTTGATATACATCTTCTAAAATTTGATATATTTTATATAAGGGAAATTTCCAAAAAAGTCTTAAAATTTTACCCTAATTTATGAAAAAGTCTCAAACTAAAATTTGTTTACGAAAAAGCATGAATTACCGGTAAAAATGACGATTTGACCCATTTTTCCCGGTTTACCGGTTTCATTACTTATATGTTTCATTAAAGTCTCATTATTTTACCCTAATTTACGAATAAGTCCCAAACTAAAATTTAGTGACGATTTAGCCTTTTTCTCCATCAAACATACATTTTATCGGTTTCATTGTTGATATAGACACGTAGTCATTAAATTAGTTGATAAGATGGGTACGATTGGTTATATAATACTATATTTACTGTAAAATTTGATATCCATCTCATCGGCTTATTTATCACTATGTATCTAGGTTAGCAATAAAACCAATAAAATGTGTGTTTCCAAGAAAATATGGCAGGAAATGAACTAATGTCTGATGTGATGGATATATTGGGTTACATAAGATTAGATAGATAATTTGAAATTTCTTATAAACATAATAAATGGCGTAGTTGTTGTTAATTTATGTGATTATTACAGTCTTCGTCGGATGCATTTTATATTCTAAAAAATATACAATATATCAAGATATCAAGTTTTATGGTAAACATAGCATTATATAACCCAACATATCCATCTCACCGGCTCATTTAATGATTAGGCGTCCAGGTCAGCGATAAAATCGGTAAAATCTATGTTAAATGGAGAAAATGGCCAAATCATCACTAAATTTTAGTTTGAGACTTATTCGTAAATTAGTATGAAATAATGGGACTTTAATGAAACATGTAAGTAAAGAAACTGGTAAACCGGGAAAATAGGGTCAAATCGTCATTTTTACCGGTAATTCATGCTTTTTCGTAAACAAATTTTAGTTTGGGACTTTTTCGTAAATTAGGATAAAATTTTGGGACTTTTCTAGAGATTTCTCTTTATATAAATATAAAATTATGTAATATATATATATATATATATATATATATATATATATATATATATAATTGTTGTCTTAATTCACACCATAAAAAAAAGCTATGACTCGTAAAATTTGAGGTTTGACTTTGCCCTCACGTCACGCCTCACGTTATTTAAGATATGTAGTTAGCGAACCACATCTGCTGACCTTTACAGTAGAAGAGGTGGACCAAATGTTGTAGTGTGCAAAAAATAAGATTGTTTGTTTTTTAATGTCTGCAGACTACTAAAAGAATTAAAATTTAAATAAATAAATTTTTTAAACTTAAAAGAGTTTTTTAATATTAATGTAACACCCGGTTTCTGGTCATTTCTTAATTAATGGTCGGGGGCTGAGAATCGATTGTGTTAAGGCTTTGGGTCTTAAGAATGTAAAGTTTGGACCTTTTGGGAAGTGATAATGATGGTTGTGAGATCTAACCCTTGAATTGTGTTTTGGTCTGAAGAATAGAAAAGGAAAAGTCATAGACTAGGTTTCTTGCATGAATTACTGATTTTAGTTCGAGAAGTTTTTAGTAAAAAATAACTGGATAATATGGCGGGGCTCTTCACTATCTTTCCATGATATAAAGAACGCCAAAATCGGAGTTGAGACGAAGAAGTTGTAGTGGGTTGAATCTTGAGTTGGATATGAAATTTGGTAGTACGTTGGGCGTACTAGCCGCCAGAAAAATGCGCCTTTAAGGGCGTACACGACTAGAACCCAAACCCGAAACTCGGGGTTTTGATCCCTATTTAAACACCTTAACCCCTCTAAACCTTTTCCATTCTCAGCCTCTATCTCTCCAAACGTTCTCCTTGAAACCCTAATCCTAGTTTGAGCCTTGTGAGCCAAAAAGTGTGTTTTTGGGTGCCTTTGAAGGAAGAAGAAGGTGTTGGTAGTGATTGGAAGCTTGAAACAACTTTGGATCTGGAAGTTCTCCTCCCTCATTCATCTCCAGAAGGTATAAAGTTTGTACCTTTATGCCTCCATTGATAGATCTAGCTTAGATGTTAAAGTTATGTCCATTTTGTCCCACAAATTGGTCCTTTTAAGTGTGAGTTGTTCCGGATCTTGTGAGGTGCATTTCCAAGTGTATTTGAGGGTGTTAAGTCATAAAAATGCAATCTTGATCTTTTCCTTCCATTCATGCATGAGTTATGAAGCTTAGAATCTTATGATAAGTTGGGGTTGTGGACATGGACTCTTTCTAGCCATGCAAAATCATAAAGTTGGAAACTTTATGATTTAAAATATTTTTTGGGATTAGATATGAGTGTTGGAAGAAAGGTCATAAGGGAATAAGCACTAAATAAAGGATTTGTCTTGGACATAAGTACATCAGGTGTACCTGGGAGTACGTTGCGCGTATTGGGCCTGAGTCCCGTATGCTAAGCGTAGGGATGGAGTACGCTAGGCGTACTCAACCAACCTTGAACTTTGACTTTCTTTGACTTCCATTGATCGTTGACCTTTCGACCAAGTTTGAGTTTGGGTCAAACTTGAGGGTTTTGGACTGTTGATTAAGATTTTACCTGATTTTGGTGATTAGTGGATTTGCGGGAACAAGCAGTGCGGAAAGGGAAGCGCGCCTCAGTGTTACGGGGTTCTTCATTCTAGGTGAGTTTTCCTCACTGCACCCGTAGGTCGAAGGCACCAAGGCGGGCCCACTAGTTTTTGTTATCATTTGTTAGAAGGATGCTTAGGGATTGTATGTAGTCGCGTCGGATAGACTGAGGACTCTTGATCTAGGATTTCTTGCATATTCATTGTTTGGTTGTGGCTCTAGAGTATGATCATCTGTCCGGGTGTCTATCTCACCTCTGGGTACAGATGGATGTGCATTCCTTTCAGAGTTGGTCACATATATTGGTGTATAGGATGTTGCTATGCTGTGGTAATATGCTATATATATATATATATATATATATATATATATATATATATATATATATATATAGAGAGAGAGAGAGAGAGAGAGAGAAAGAGAGAGAGAGAGAGAAATATGTTCAAATTTCTACTCTAATAAATAAAGATCTTTTTGCCACATGTCACATTCTTATTCATTTTGTCACATGTCATTTTGTGGTTATTTTAAATTATTTTTTTATTCCACATGTCATTTTATGGTTTTTTTCATTTTATTAAATTCCACATAGTATTTCATTGTAATAAGAAATGTATATTAATTTTATTAATGGACTTTCCTTGTAATTTCAAAATTACTAAATTAAAGCCTCATTAGTTTCATTTGTTTATTTATCTAAATTATTTGTTTACATTTAAAAGTAAAAAAAAAAACTTTAATTTTAATAATTCATTATTTTCTTACTTTTCCTATAAATTCAAACTTCTTAAATGTTAAGAATTTCATATTTAATTTAATTTTTTTAAATAAACCCATGTAATACATGAGTCTTACACCTAGTTTCTAATAATTATTGTGTTCCTAAATGCACCAATCCGAAATTAGCCAATAATTAAATAATT